GCGTTACTGAGTTGTGAAAATCGGTATTGGCGCCAGTAACTCAGCTCTCGGTATCAGCGCAATGGCGCGGCGCCGCACTGTGTTACCCACGGCTAGTCGCCACACACGACGAACATATGCGCGGGCATGTTATGCTCGCAGTGCATGTTCGTCGTTTGTGGGGCGGCTAACGATCATGTTCGCCAAAAATCTAAAAACTTTGATTTTCAGTGAGCATGGTCGTCGTTTGTGGCGTGGTTAGCGACTGTGTTGATGCTTGCAGCGTGTACATCGGCGGATAAATGCATCCAAGCCATGTGCGTTAATTGAATTTTGGGTAAATGACGCTAAAGTACTATATTGGAATGTCTATACATACATACAAGAAAGAAAGGAGCAGATCAACTGAAGCCACGACTGTTGTCAATATTTGTTGCTTCGGCTCATCTGCTCTTTTGCCAGAGTGCCAGCCCACTTGCACTATTTGGTGAATACCACTAATATAAATAAATTAAGGTAGCACATGCATAACAAAGCTAAGTTAAAAACATTGCAATTGCATCATCCTTGCCTTTGCTACGCATCTTTACGCAAGATCACCGCTCCCTGTTTGTGGCAAACGACCGCGAGTATGTTGGCAAGCATGCTCTATTACATATTTCGTCATCCACCCACGAGTTGGAATCAGGTGCTGCTGCAGGAAAATGAAGAAAATTGATAATGGCCTCGTATATTTGGCATTTTAACAAACAAATCCGTTCTAAGTTTACACCCTTCCACCCACAAAAAAAATAATGCATATTGTAACATTTCTGGTTTATTTTGTTTATTTATACGTCATACACGCTGGCAACCCCATTGAAAGTTAATTGAAAAGTGCCGTTAGATGCGCCATTGCAAGAAGGGCGAAATTCGAATTAGATGCGTGTATAGTCGTAATTTCACAAGATTTATTTATTCATTTTTATCAAAACAAATTCGTTTAAAAAAATAGGAAGTAGCTGCATATGAAAAAATGGATTTAGATTTAGCAACTTGCCTTTTCACTGGGCTTTCAAGTGATAGCTTGCAGGACAAGCACATTATTTGGGATGATGGACGTTTCACAACAGCTACACAAAGAGTATTTGCAAAAGATGTGATAAAATTTGTGCGTCGCAAGGAACAATGCATACTTCCAAATCCTTTTGATATACCGGATGAATAGTAGGTGCACATATTAAATAACGCTTCCGTTTGACAATCTTCATTTACATTTTCTTAGCTTTTTGGAAGCTTTTCGTTTCAACAAATTGCTATACCAAGATTTCCTACTTGTTCTTTGTCTCCGCACATATTATCGCTCGGAAGTAGACTCTAATCGGATGCCACTTGATTTACGCGTGCTGGCTACGCTTACCTATTTGGCGTACGGTCATTTTGACGCTTTAAAACCTTTGGATGGTTTTAGATTTTACAGTTTGGGTTCGCTTCAACAATGTGTGGCAGAAGTGTGCGAGCTGATTGTACATTTTATGGCCACAGATTATGTTGTGTGAGTTATGTGCAGTAAACTGAGCTAGGATGAAGCATGATAAAAATATTTAAATGTATTTTATCATGGATGGAGGTGCTTTAGTTTTAAATAAATTTTTTTTATTGGTTTTTCAGATTCCCTTCGAATAGTGATGAGGCTAAAGATATTAAGCGCGGATTTGATATGCAATATGGTGTACCAAATGTGGTAGGCATAATGGATTGTTTTCATGTGCGCCTTGTTAAAGTAGACCCACCTTTTCACAACGCTTTCAAATGCAGACACGGAAATTTAACTATCAATGTGCAAGTGGTAAGAAATGTATTTTATTAAAATTATTTTTAAAATGTTTAATACTTTCATTCTCTTTAATCAAGATCTGCGATCATAAATTGCGCTTTTTGGATGTTAATCCGCGAGCATCGGGCGGAACTAGTGACATTTTTGTTTGGAATCGAAGTCATATCAAGGGAATTGTGAAGAATCTCTATAAAACAGAGCCAACATGGTTAATTGGTAAACGTTGTTTGGATTGTTCAATGATAGATAAGTATGTACATATATTTTTTTCTCAGCGGATCGAGGTTACCATTTGGAGGATATTCTTATCAATCCATATCGCAATCCTAATTCTAAGTCCGAAATTCGGCTCAATACAGTATTTGAATCAATGCTCGGTGTTCTAGACACGGCTGTCGTTATGCTAACATCACGTTTTCGGTAGGGTTATCGAGTATCACAAGTTTGCCACTTTAACTCATACCTATATTCCTCTTTTTTTTCGCGTTGCTTGAAAATCATGCAGTTGTCTTAAAACGATTTTACCNCAACTCATACATATATTCTTCTTTTTTCGCGTTGCTTGAAAATCATGCAGTTGTCTTAAAACGATTTTACCCTACAATCATCAGATTGCAGCAAATATTGTCACGGCTTGTGTCACGCTGCACAACTACTTGTTATCCAAAGATTGTGCCATGGATGAGCACCTCATGTCAATTGTGCCGAAACGAAAGAAGTTGCCAAATGCAATACACGAAGATGAATGGTCAGCTGGCTTCAAACACCGTGAATATATCAGAACATACTTGGATTGATATTATTTAAGCGTTCACTAAAGCTAAGAACAGTCAGTATTTATTTTAGAGGCCAAATACCTATTTATAGTATATTTTTTGTTTTTTATATTTCATACACATATTTGCTCGTGTATGTTTGTGTTATGCCTACGTTTAATTTTAAATGTCCTTAATCTATTTGTGAGTTCTATGCTTGTATGTTTTTAATTTATTTTTGCTTATGAAGTTTATATCATTGCCGAGTAATACCTAGAAGGTGTACTTCATGTAATTTATTTTGGGTTCTATAAAAGCGAAGAACGTTATTTATTATTTATAAAATGAAAATGTCTTGTGTTCGTATGCAATAAAAATATTCGTTTGCAAAAAGTGCAAATAAAAAGGTACATAAGTATTGTAATTTAGTACAACCAATACGCAGTGGTTGCTGCCATAGGCCAAAATAAAAAAATGTATGTAAAAATTGTTGAACCAAAATAGGCTTTTCAATCAGTTTTTTGTCCAAACTTCATGTTATATATTTTTTGTTTAATTCTAACAGTTGTTAATGAAAAAAGCAACAAAAGTGTCGTCAATTGTTCATTTTATTCGTCCAGCGTCAGCACGCTGAAAATTGAAATGGATTTAACGTAATTAAAATATTGTGAAAAGTCGAGTGAGTTAAAAATGTATGCAATGGGTATTGTACATAAAGGTATTGACTTTATTTCTACAATTAAATTTTTATATAATTTGTGTTGTGTTCTATGCAAGTCGTTGTTTTAGAAAAGAAGGATTTTGTGTGTTTTTTGGTTCGTCTTTCAAGTATTTAGGCAATGTTTTAAGTATGTTTCCCCTATCGGCCCTCAATATTTTTATTTACATATTGTTTGTTAATATTTTAAGAATAAAAGAGTTCAGTGTAGATGCATTGACCTGCAGATGCTCGCATAGTATTCCATAACCTAATCCAAGCTCTTTATTTTCTACAGTTTTTTTCATGTTTATTTTTTGATTTATCTAATTTTCTAATTCAAAATGTTAACACTGCGAATTTTCTCGATTGCATGTCTTTGAGATTTGACGTGAAAATTTGGGTACCCATTCCCAAAAAGTTGAAAATTTGATGGGTGCTATAGCGGAAGATATTGAATATGAGGGTTTTGAGCCAGATCAGTATGAGTTGCAAAAATGTATTAATTACGTTTGTAAAAAATTTGCATTATATTGGCAAAGATCCAAATGCCAAAAATCAGCAGTTTTGAAAAATCATAATTCACTCGAAAAGAGAGAAATCATTTCATTAAAATGTCAACCAACAGTTTTTACCAATTCAAATCGTGGGCGTCCGAAAAAAATTTTGTTGAGTCTTCAAAGAGACTAAGCGTCGGCAACATAACGGGATAAAATTTTTACCCTAAGGCCCGTTAAGAGTAAAAACTGTAATATGTAAAAGAGGGCGGGAATGGACAATCACACATAAAGTCATATGAGAAATAATAGGGACACGACATTATGACCAGTTTCGGCTATTTTTCTTTTGTTTGTTTAATGTTGAATTTTCGAGGCTATCACAAAATCCATCATAGCCCGATTTTTCGAACGTAGCATATTCTTTGAATACACGTTCGCTGCAATACCGAATGACCGAATTTTCGTTAATTTCACGAAAAGGTGGACTACGATGGATTAGCCCCGATTGACTAATTTTATTCTGTAATGCAGATCTTAAATTGGCTGACTGCTTAAAAATTTTAAGTTAGAATTGCTAATAGGCAATAAACAATTTGCCCTTTCTAGCACACCACCCTGACTAGCATGCCATTTCTTGCCTTGGTGAGTCATGAGACGCTTGGCAACTCTGGGCGAATTTTAAAGCAAAGCAAGTGTCATATAATGACAGCTCTCAAACGAGTGAAGAATTTGACGCTGTTCGCTGGAAAATTTGCACGTCTCGTGAAAAAAAATTTAATAACGCCGAAATTAATGGAAAATTTTTAAAATATTTACAAATTTTATGTGCCTTTACAAGTTAAAGTGGAATATTTGTGTTTACAATAGAATTTGTAGATGAAGTCGAAAAATTAATTCCGAAAAAATGCATTTGAAAATTTGCTTGGCATGTAAAAGGTAGCAGGAATTCCTGCTCGTACATATACAAAAAAATTCCAAGTACATAAGGCGCCGTGCGAAAAACAGTAAAAAAAGCCCGCATACGAGTGGGAGACGTACAAGAAAAATAAGAAGAAGAAGCGTGAGCCGAATTAGCAGCGAAAGCGGGTGCCGAAAACCACGCGTAAACAAGTATCAAAAGCAAGCAAATAGATAAATAAAAACAAAACAAAAAGTACCGTGGAATATACAGTAAAAAAAGTAGAAGCAACCGGCTATTTTGAAAACGTGCGACGGTGGCGTTGTGAGTGCTTTGTTTTCACTTCCACAACGCCATGTCGCAAAATCAAAACAAACAACACTTACAACAACATCAACAACAACTTGAGCATCACCAGCTACAACAACAGCAGCAGCATCACCATCACCAACAGCAGCTTTTACACCACCACCATCAGCAGCAGCAGCAGCAACACCAACAGCGGCAATGGCAATACCAACAACAACAATTACATCATCAACAGCAGCAACAACAACAACATGCGCAATATGCTGCTGCTGCGGCCGCACATGCACATGTTGCTTCAGCCGTTATTACTGGGCCTGGTATGAGGGGTGGTAATGGCATGCCCGGCATGTTTGGTAATGGGCTCGGTAGGGGTGGGTGTTTATATGAAGCGAACAGTGGTAGTCTCGTTAGTGGCAGCAGAGGCGTCGGCGTTGGCGTTGGCGGTTTTGACCTTGATATGGCTAGCCGACATGTGGGTAGTGGAAATGCCTCGTCGATTGCGCCCACCTCTGTTGTAGCTCCAGTTGTTAGTATGTCCGTTACTAGTGCGGTAGGGGGTGGTTTTATGCCGACGCATGTCAATGTTTCTTCTGTCGCCGGTGGCGCCTACAATGCCGGTATGTCTGGCATATCTGTTGCTAGTGAAAGTGGAAGAAGATCTAGTGCGGGTGGTTGTGCATACACACAACAGCCGCAACAGGCGCAGCCACGACAACAACAACAACAGCAACCACTCTCTCAGCAGCAACATCAACTTCGTCAGCAACCACAACAGCAACAACAGCATGCCATTTTGCCACCAGAAAGAATTAAAATGGAGCCACTAGAACAAATACTCACTCCAACTATACAAATGGAAGAATTGATAATAAAAAGTAAGTAAATAGATATGTTTGTAGGTACATATATTCTTGTACGCGTTTATTTAACGCGTATTAATTTGTAACTTTTTAACTGCCTAACGATGGTATGCAGTAGTCGTTCAGTTTAAAGAACGATATGTAGAACTGTGTTCAACTAATTAGCAATGAAATTCAAAATGATATTGTTTGTAAATTAAGTTTATTTTTAATAATTTTCATTTAAAATATAATTATGTAAAACTGTAACAGACATCATATTAACAAGTGTCAAGGCTTGCAAAACTTGCAAAAAAATTAATCAAACTTCCAAAAATGTCATACAAATTTCCAAACATTTAATCAGGATATTTAGAAAACTTTCGGGTATGCAATTCCGTATCCCATTCAATTGTAGTCTAAGAAAGTGAAAGTCTCAAGTCGTTTAAAATTACCGTTGATTTTTTTGATTTCTTTTGTGGAGGGTGTTGCGGACTTTTTTTTTCAGATAAAAAAAATTTTGATCATGTGTTATATAGAAGAAAATGCGCACCACCCTGCACAAACAAATTCTAAAAAATCGACGGTAATTTTAAACGACTTGAGACTTGCACTTTCTTAGATTACAATTGAATGGGCTACAGAACTGCATACCCGAAAATTTTCTAAATATTCCGAATAAAAATTTGGAAATTTCTAAGACAATTTTTTTTAAGTTTGATTAATTTTTTTGCAATTTTTGCAAGCTTTGGAACTTTTATTATTGTTATTCCTGTTACAGACTGAATTATATTTTAAATGAAAATTATTAAAAATTAATTTGCAAAAATATCATTTTGAATTTCGTTGCTATTTAGTTGAACGCAGGTGTATATGTACATGTTATACCTACGGTGACCATAAATATGGATTGAAAATGCAGGACAATTCTTCAAAAATATACGTACATACATATGTACATAGTATAAAAGTAACAAAACAGTATACATACATACATAATTCTAAATTCTTAGTCCATTTTAAACTTTAAACATTAATCACGTTTTCTTTGTCGGTATTAATCGTTTTTTTTTAATGAATATTAATAAAAGTATAACAAAATATATTACCATTACAATAGCTTACACAAAAAGTGAACATCTTTAAAATATTATTTTATAGGCAAACTTTGAATAGTTCAACACGAAAACAATTTTTCTCGAACAAATTTTTTTTTGGTACTTTTCGCAGTTATTTGTCGAAAAAAAAAAAATAAAATTTGCGCTCCATAACATCTACATTTTTAACCCCTAATTAGGCGCGTTGACCCCAATAAAAGTGTTGAAAAGAGTTTTAGAAAAAAAAACCAAGTACTCCATTATCGTTAACTTAAAAACAAAAACTTAATTTCGGCTTTCTTCTTTTTCTTTATTGGCGCTGTAACCGCCTAAGCGATTTTGGCCGAGTCCAAAACAGCACATCAGTAATTTCTCTTCTGTGCCAACTGACGCCAATTGGAAATGCCAAGTGAAGCCAAGTCCTTCTCCACCTGGTCTTTCCAATGCAGAGGAGACCCTCCTCTTCCTCTGTTACCAGCATCGAGGCCTGCGTTGAATATTTGTGCATTTTTTTACTAGAACTTAATGGGCTGCAAAAATGCATACTAAAAAAAAAATCTAAAAAATCTGATTGAAAAGTTGAAAATTTTGATAAAAATTTGCTGAATTTTCGCGAGTTTTGCACAAAGTTTAGGAATTCTATTTTTATGTTTTTTGTTGTTGAATAAACCATATTTTTATACAAAATTGGCGGGAAAATATTAGAATAAAAATTGTTGCATATATTGTGAAAAATTGACGGTGCCAATACTTTGTTCCGGCAGTGTAGCCCATTATTGAATGGAAATTTTCAATTCGTTAATGGGCTGGATTTCGAATTCATAACGAAGGAAAAATACATTGGAAAACGAAGGTTCCGTTTTGCTGGAGGTTGGCCTAGTTCTCGAATTCAATACTAATCTATTCCACATTGGTTATCGAAGTTGAGACTCGAAAAAAAGATTGGTTTTCCGATCATTTTCGAATTGTTAAACAAGCCCAATGTTTATTGGGTTGAGATTGAAAATGTGAATGTGTGTGTGTGAGTTTGAGTTTTAAAATTACAAAAAATTGTAAATTGTATCGCTGCCAAACATCAGACTGCCTCTTAATGATTTTACCTTGTTATGTTTTTATAATGCTACTATCTGTTTAATGTATCTTGATTTAACGCAAACATCTCTGAATTCCATTAAAAACTTCCACTTCAAAAACTTTGCGTCCCAATACTGTCAACAGCAACTGATTTGATTTGCCGTAGTAATAGCGTAGCATCAGTCAATCGTCAATTATCGTAAGACGCGCGAAGACGATGATAGTATACATGTGTCGACGTCGTAGCAAGCAGCATTTAAGCTTAATTACATGTGTTTGGAAAATCAACAAATGCCCACCTCTGTTTTAGACCCATGATTTCTTCGGCAAAATTTCGTAGAATAACACGTGGAATCCCCCTATGCTATACGCGCATAGTAAACAAAAAAAAATTGACCCGCCCTAATGTATAGTCATGTGAAAAGTAATAGAGACCCGACATTTTGACCAGATTTTACTCCTTTGCTTTTGTTTGTTTAAAACCATATCTCGTCACCTGAAATGCAAAAAGACGTAACAACTGACGTAACTGAAATGGAAAAAGTGGTGACTAAAAATGTTTATTTGTTTCATTAGTTCCGACTCTTTGAATTTCAGCAACAATGTTTGTTACATCTTTTTGCATTTCAGGTGACGTGTATGTAAGTCCACATTTGAAACTTTTTACACGTTTTAGATAAATTAAAAAAATTAAACAAAATTCTACGACAAAAATAAACTTTTTATTATGAATTCTTAGAAAAATTCTAAGTACAGTTTGGAATCTCGCTCCCAACCGTAAGGAAAACGTTGCTCTTACATTTGGCAACCCCACAATGTCGGATGCGCGAACGTGAGTGTGCTTCTTCGACCGCCAATTCATTGCACACCCAGAGAGACACAACTCCGCGGACATTTTGCTAGATGTCCAGAGGCGACTTTCTCTCCCCAGCACTTTAATCTGCCAAACTTCGACAGACTTAGCAGCAAATATTTCTGTCAAAGTTCGCAGAGCTTCGTCATAAAAATTATGCTTGCGCTGGTTCATATCTGCCACACACAATACTTGCGTCATCCATCAAAATCTTCAAAATGATGATTGATGCTGTTTATTTCGAAAAAATTGGCACTTGATTCAGACGTCTTATGTATTTTAGAAGAAAACGATATTTGCGAAATAATTTGTAGCTCTTAGCAATTGATCGACAGATGTATTTAAAAAAAAAAAGTGCTTTTCTGCGGAATATTATGTCACAGATCTATCAAATGATTTCAAGAAGTTTTCTCAGCACCATTTCAACGTTAAAAATCAGTCAAGCTATTTTAAATGCAGAAAAGATACTCTCAAAGAGGACGAGATAATTCTGCAGTCTGATTTCTGCGAAGACTATGCTTTTGTTTCTCAGAATGCTATGCAAAAATTTCATTAAAACAATGATCAGTGATGGCATAGGGGCTATTTTGAGGAGACAAGCCACTAGTTTTAGCCTGCAAGCTCCGCCAGACAAAGCATTTTTAAAAGCAGAGACCCATTTTTCCATTATGCAACAGACCACAACATACACAACAAAAAACACCATGAGTAAGTGACACAAACAATAGTTGCTTAGAATTTTGTACAGAGCTCTGGGCCGGTTAACGTGAAACGTCCCATATACATACATTAGTATGTAAGATCTTTTCTTGACTGTTTTCTGTTAATTTTTCTCTTTGAACTTTAAAAATCACAAGCATTTCTGATTCGACTAAGAATGTGTGGAAAAATAAAGAATCTGCTGGAAAAAATTTGAATTTACATACATATATGCACATATTTATACTTGTAGTATGTATATATATGTACATATGTCTGTACATATGTATGTATGTGTGTATATGTATAAAAGCGTATTGCACGAAAATTAAATTATTTCTAGTTTTATCGCAATCATAATTTTAGACACGCAACCCAAACAAGTGCTTTTCTCATTGATTTAGTTAATATATACATGTATATGTACATACTTACAAACGTAAGTACAAATGTATACATGTATATACTAATCTGCATCTATATTTCTATGTATGTGTATATGTATAATCAGCCCCATACATCCTTTTATAGGTTAAGTTGCTGCATCAGTACATTACCCCCAAAGTTTATCATGCTTGTTCCCTTTAGTTCTTGCTCAGATTTCTTCGGGACGATCTGTTAGCGTAGAATCGATCTTTTTGATTTTTTTCGTTTTCCCCTAACATTTTTGAGGCTTTTCTGAAGCGTTTCTAGCGCTCTCTGTAAGCGTCATACGTCCCTACATACATGTTTTTTTTTTTTTTTTATTGCGCATTCAAGAGCTGTGTGTATTAATTCGTTTGAATACTGTAATTTAGGCAATTAGCGCCCAGGAAAATAAAGAGGCCATTAAAAAATAATTTAAGCTAACCGTTCTATAAAACGTCTGTACATATGTAGGTATGTACATATCATTACAAAAAATACCGATGAACCTAAATTAGTTTGGAGCTGCGCTGCACGGTGTAATAAGCCGAACTTTTAATTGTAAGAAGTCGCTTAGTAAGAAACGTACTAGGTAGGCAAACAAATAAACTTCCAATTGAGCAAAAGTAACTATCGTAAACGTATAATCAAGAACAATAGATACTTTTACCCCGACTTCATTAGACCGAGACTGTCTATTTGTAAAACAACGCAACTGTTTTTCATTTGTTTGCGCACATTTTTTACATGTATCCAATAGTATAGTAAAGAAAGCTCAAAAACAGAAGTGAATCAAGAGAATTCTCCAATCGCAAATCGTTGGAAAATTTTTATTTGTAGAAATTTTTTTTTAAATACATATTTACATACAGTGACGCAAAAAAGTGTTCACGTTTGATTTTTGTTTTCAAATTTC